TTGTTTTCATGTCCCAAATTGTGTGTATTTTAAATTATTTACATTAAATCATCCAGTTTTTTACTTTAATTCTAATCGAAACACATATTTTTTTATGTTTATGCAATTATAGTTAGCCTTTCTGAGATATTTTCATATCAAAATGAAATAAAGGGATAAATTATGTGGATATATGTATGCTCCAGAGAAGTGTGCACAAAATTAAAAAATAAAACATTACTGTAATATTGCGAGAAACCATATTTTCCCCCATCATCTAATTCTAAATCTGGTAAATAATAGCAACGGTTTATACACCAGGATAAATATATTGTTATTAGTAGCAGCATCCATGCAGTCCTTTGGGATTGTGATATTGCACACCATATTAAACATAAAGATTTGATTTTTCCAATATACTATAAGCTCAAAACAGGAAATCAGAGGGAAAAAATGACCCCCTCCTTATTCTGAAAACCTTTAAGGCATAAACCAACGCTGACCTCCTCCATTTTCATATGCTCCCACTTACAGTACAGATGTAGGCCAGTGGCTGATGTGACTCATCCCACATTTACAGTTTACATGCCTGCAGTAATCATGTTCTAATGTGTTCATTCACATATAATTTGCCCCAAATACTGCAAATCCAACAGAATGGGGGAGATTAATTAACTGAAAATGGTATAAAAGAGCAGAACTCAACAAAAGGGAGGAAGTATTAAAAGTGAATACAGACTTGTACTTTAAAAAGTACTATGTAAAGTACTATGTAGACATTTATGTTCTTAAAGGTGATCTATTATCCGTTCTTGAACAGATGAGATTAGGTTTATGTGCTATATAAAACATATTCATTACATTTTTCCACAAAATCATTCTTAGTCTGGACATTCCTGCCTGTCTTAACTCCTTTTAGAATTAGCCGTTTTAGGGCCTCTGTCACTTTAATGCAAATAAGCCGCTGCTGGCCACGCCCCCCAAATCAAGGATTACACTCGCACATGAAAATGGCTGCAAGCAGATTCACAATTATACAACCGTACATCTTTGAAAAGTAGAAGTGGAGGGTACTGCACAATCAACAAAAATGCAGCGAGTGGTTTATGGATAGTAACAAAACACTTGTATGTTCCAGCAGCCATTGTACAGTTCTACCATTACTTTATTCTCAAATGTGTTTATTCTGAAATATTATGACTTTGTTCTCGTATTATTTTGACTTTTTCATAATATTGTGACTTTACTGTCATGATATTATGACATTTCTCCTAACACTCTGACTTTATTCTCATATTATTTAGACTTCTTTCTCCTACGACTTTATTCTTGTAATATTCTGACTTTTGTCTTGGAATACTATCACACTGTAGTCATTATTTCAACTTTATTCTTGCACAAGTTTTTTTCTCAAAACACTTTGACTTTATTCTAGTATTATTTCCACTTTTTTCTGATTCAACTTTTTTCTCGTAATGTTATGAATTAATTGTCGTAATAGAATTACTTTTTATAATATTATGTCTTTATTCTCACGCACTTTATTCTTGTAATTTTATTTTTTATTATTCTTAGTTTTATTTCCTATTATTGATGGAGTAATAATAATACTCCATCATACATTCTTGACCTGCAGTTGGGGGCCACAAAAAAAAAAAAAAAAAAAAAAAAA